GTGAGGTTTTAGTGAAGTGAAGGAGACGTGATGGGACACAAACACACACCTGTGATGTCCATCTCCCTCATGGTGAGGGCTGCCATGCTGTCTGTTATAAGCGTGGCGGGGATTCCCTCCGCTACAGCCTCGTACGCCGTCAGTCTGGACCCCTGGTTGTACGGCCTCGTCTCTGTGCAGTACACGCGCTTCAGCCTGCCCAGCGTGTGGAGGCTTCTCACCACGCCTACACACAGACTCGTATCAGTTACAGTGCTCTAAATATTTCAACAACCACCTTCTTTTCTCATTCAGAGCCAGCGCTCCAGTCTCACCCAGCGCCGTCCCGTATCCAGCTGTGGCCAGCGAGCCGGTGTTGCAGTGTGTGAGAATGGTCACCGAGTCCCTGGGGACGCCAGAAAGGATGTGCTGAGCTCCATAGTTACCGATCTTCCTGTTGTCATTGACGTCACGCTCCAGCATGTCTTCGATCCAGGCAATTACACTGCAGGAGGGGGGCCACAAGAGGTGGGAATTGAGAAGAGGATATATGTCTGCCACTGTGGGCTCAATGTGTCCATCATATCTGCAGGAGCAATACGGCTTTGTGTTTCTGTTTGTCATGACTTTGCTTTCTCCGCTTCTCTCATACACAATCTTTTTCTTCATGCTGTTCCTTCTCTTTTTCTGCCATAGCTGCGCCACATCTCCCTCATTGTCTTTCACTTTCTTACATTATTCTTGTTGCACAGTCTCGATTCCTACCTTGCAGACACGCATTATCAAGTAAACACTTGCACAAGTTTTTTTTGGAGACTGGCCCACAATTCAAACCAGACCAAGTTTAAAGTAACATAAATCTTCCATGGTTACCTGCTAGGTCGTTCACTCCACCACTACAGTGTTACTCTTTAGCCCAACTTATTCTCAGATGAATGGACGGGTGCTTATATAGAGCTTTTCTACTGTACATCTTATACAAATATGCCTCATTCACCCAGTCACACAATCACTTTTCTATGCTTAAGTGCTTTGTATCTAACATTCACACTCAGAGAGTAACTTGGGGTTAGTACCTTGCCTAAGGATATGTGGCATGCAGGGATCAAACTACTATCCTTCCCATTAGTGGGTGACCTGCTCTACCTGACCAGGTCTCTGAGCTACAGTCACCCCAAGCAATGTGACTCACTGCTTTGTAATGGAAATCTAACATATTTATTTAACACGTGGGAAGG